AATCATGGACTCAATACAGTCATTCAGTTTATGGCACATTACAACCTGCCTGACATCTGCGAAACCTGCGCTCATACTCTTTTCTTTCCCCCCACCCCATCCTCCTCTCCCCCTCTTTTTCTACCCTTTGTCTGCCTAATTTCCTGCTATTTACTTTTTGCATAGACTGCCTCTTTTCAACCTTGGAAAACTACTACCACAGGGTCTCCCTTACTTACATTTGGCTTTTATTCCCCCTCATTTCCCCCCTTCTCCTCCCTTCCCAGCTCTATCTTATATCCTTATTTCTGTTTATTTACATTCCCACTGGCATCCTGTCACACTTTTAGCTTCTTTTATTCCTTGGAGTCTCAGAACAGCAGAGACATCCTATGCCTAAAGAAGGGCACTATTGCACCCAAAAGCTTGCAAAGAACTTTTTTCCAACTACTCAGTTGGTCCAACAGAAGATATCACACCTACCCAAAGAACCTTGCCTGCCTATACCCTTAGCTTAGACCAACACAGCTACAACCAAAAACCCAGCAAGTCCTTCATAAGTAAGTTTCCTCCATGGAGCACAAACGGTTTTGAAAAGGGGATCTGCCCAGAAGATTAGGAAAGGACAGAAACATTGACAAAAACGCAAAAGCCTGGTTAAAAACACCATCCAAGTGTAGAGTTGTAAGAACAATTTGCCACAGGTAAAAGGTGTGGAAAGTGTTTGCTTTACCTCGCATTTGCTAATCCATGATAACTGCTTGGTTGTACCCTTTGATAAATGAAAGCTAAACTACAGGAGCTTAGACCTCAATGAAAGACTGCTAAATTACCATGGGTTATATAGAGGCAGCACTCTAAACTGAAAATTGAGAGGGCACGTCATCAATTAGCTTGTGGTATTTTTAATACATGTATTAAAATCTAAATTACTTTTGTTTTCTACTAATACTTTAGGCAATTAAAAATTAATATAATTTACTTAACATAATTTCACTCAATTTGGGCCCCAACAGTGAACAATCAACTTTACATTTTCCCTATAGTCAGTTTCACTTTTGACTATGAACTAGCATAAAACAGCTTTTTCCAACACTATGAGGAGGACTATGAGGGGTTTTTTAAGAAGCATGTTTTTATAAAATTGTTTCAAGAAATGTCAAACACTTTTCATTTCACATTCATTTTTAAACGTGGTTCGCTTTAATTTATTATTAAACAAGCACTTCTAATATAAACATACTTTACAAATTGAAAGCTTGACAGATTATGTGGTTTTAATCTAGACATAGCTTTTCTAAATTCTTAGACCCAAAGCATTGGATTGGGGGAGAGAGGGGAGAGAAGAGGGGAACCAGAATTATGTTTTTTTGGACATTTCTTTCAAAGTATTTCAACTCAAGATTTTTATTTATATATATATATGAAAGTCAGAATTATTAAAAACCTTCAAGAGTTCTCTTTTTTCCATCTTTCAAGTCAGCAGATTAAGCTCTCTAAAACAATTATAACATCATCTAAAGAAAATTTGAATCACTTGAGAAAAAAGGTACCAGTGATTAGAGACATATTTGCTAACACTACAAAACTGCATTTTCTTATGAATAAATGTTCAAGATAAAATGACTCAAAATGCTTTCCATGTTGCCATTAACATTCAAAAGCAAAGAAAATTGTAGTTTGATCTTTCTCTTAATATTAGACGACCAACATGAAGAATTATAGCTCTTCTGGATTCAACCCTATCCCTCCACCAATTACTCAGTTATTCATTAGAATATGTAACACCTCTACTGCAATTTTTGAACCAGACTTTCATAAATAGCTTTGACTGCATGAGCATGGTTACACAATGTCTACCACAAAAGCAATATATTTCCAATATTCATAGTTTCATAGTTTCTAGAGTCGGAAGGGACCTGAGCAGATCATCTAGTCCAACCCACTGCCATGGCAGGAAGAGCACTGGGGTCAAACGACCCCAGTAAGGTGGTCATCCAACCTCCTCTTAAAAACCCCCAGGGTGGGAGCCTGCACCACCTCACTTGGAAGCTGGTTCCAGACCCTAGCCGCCCTGACGGTGAAGTAGCGCCTCCTGATGTCCAACTTAAACCTTCCCTCCGCCAGCTTGTGACC